AATCCCCACTGCTGGAGACAAATTAAACCACTCTGCTTCAGTTTCCTAACCTGTAAAATGGGGATAATGATGGTACTTACCTCTCAGGGTTGTGAGAACGAGTTAATGTGTGCAAAGTGCTGGCACATAGTTTCAGCGTTTAATAAATAGTATTATTAATATCATTATCATCATTCTTTTTTTGAGAGTGAGATTTTTTTTTTAAATGAGTTTATTTGAGCCAAACTGATGACAATTGCCAGGAAGCAAGATCTCAAATGCTCTGGCTCATCATTTTTGAAACATTGAACTCCACTGCTCCTCATTGCTACAGCCCTTCCTCTCCAACTTCTTTGTGTTCTCACCTCCCATTCATGTTTCCCAGTTATTTCACTCAGGATCAGTACTGGGGGTTATAATCATCACGATTGGTGCCTACTGTATGCAGTGCCCTGTGCCTTGCAGGCCTTGTCTCATTTATCCACATGACCCCAGAGGCACATGATCTAATTATCTCCATTTTTTTGAATTGATTTTAGAGAGGAAGGGAGGAAGAGAGAGAAACATTGATTTGTTGTTCCACTTATTCATGTGTTCATTGGTTCAGTCTTTATTGTTGTTGTTGAGTTTTTAAAAAAATATATTTTTTTATTGATTTCAGAGAAAGGAAGGAAGAAGGAGAGAGAAACATCAATGATGAGAGGATCATGATCGGCCTGCACCAGGCATGTTCCCTGAGGACACTCCCCTACTGAGACACAGGGGCGGGGCCTTTTTTGTTGTTAATCCTCAACCAGGGATATTTTTTCATTGATTCCTAGAGAGTGGAAAGGAAGGGGTGAGAGAGAGAGAGAGAGAGAGAGAGAGAGAGAGAGAGGAGAGAGAGAGAGAAACATCGATGTGAGAGAGACTCCTAGATTAGTTGCCTCCTGAGAGAAGCTCGGGGATCAAACCTGCAATCCAAGTACATGCCCTTGACCAGGAATCAAACCCGGGACTCTTTGGGCCTCAGGCTGACGCTCTAACCACTGAGCTAAGCCAGCCAGGGTCAGGACTGCATTCTTTTTCCTGTGTTCTTATCCCCAAGTATATGGCCTTTACCATGTAGGCACTCAACTGTATGAATTGAATAGGAATAATAATAGTCATACTTTTAAAAAAATTTTTGAAAAATATATTTTATTGTTTTTTTACAGAGAAGAAGGGAGAAAGACAGAGAGTCAGAAACATTGATCATCTGCCTCCCGCACACCCCGCACTGGGGATGTGCCCGCAACCAAGGCACATGCCCTTGAGTGGAGTCGAACCTGGGACCCTTCAGTATGCAGGCCGACTCTCCATCCACTGAGCCAAACCGGCTAGGGCAATAGTCATACTTTTTATTAAAAAGTATCACAAATAGGATTTTTTATTTTGTCATAAAAACTCTGGATTATTTATTTTAAACAGCTTCTTGGACTTGGGGTTCAAATACATCAGCTCACTTCACCATGAATCTTCATGAGTTTTACCAGTTCAAACTTGGGCTTCTTCAGCATTTTGACTTTTCTTTTTTTTTTTTAAATATATTTTATTGATTTTTTACAGAGAGGAAGGGAGAGAGATAGAGGGTTAGAAACATCGATCAGCTGCCTCCTGCACATCTCCTACTGGGGATGTGCCCACAACCCAGGTACATGCCCTTGACTGGAATCGAACCTGGGACCTTTCAGTCCGCAGGCCGGCGCTCTATCCACTGAGCCAAACCGGTTTGGGCAGCATTTTGACTTTTCTAACAAAGACATCATGGAGCGGACAAATAGACTGACAAGGCTTGTCTGTCTTTTCCAATACTATCTGGGATCAATTCATTGACCACTTTTTTCAAGTCATTTGTCTGCATCTCTCGGGTCATGATTTCCAGCATCTTCTGCATTTGGCAGACCTGTTAATGCTGAACTCTTTTTTTTTTTAAATATATATTTTATTGATTTTTTACAGAGAGGAAGGGAGAGGGATAGAGAGTTAGAAACATCGATGAGAGAGAAACATTGACCAGCTGCCTCCTGCACACCCCCTACTGGGGATGTGCACGCAACCTAGGTACATGCCCTTGACCGGAATCGAACCTGGGACCTTTCAGTCCACAGGCCGACGCTCTATCCACTGAGCCAAACCAGTCAGGGCAATGCTGAACTCTTATAAGAGGCTTCCTAATATGACTTTGCATTCTTTAGTAAAACCAATACTGAATAGATGGAGCAAATAACCATCAGTAGTCTTGACATCAACATGGGCTTCAAACATGGTCTGCCATTTTTTGACCATGGAGCACATTTTGTCACAGGTAAGATCCATGCCATGGAAATTAGGCAGTCTTTGCCCTGCACATCCTCAGTAATTAGCTTGAATTTTTAAAATGCAACTTCATCATTCTGTAGATCAGCTAGGGCCTAGCTGATCAGTGGTCGGCAAACTGCGGCTCGCGAGCCACATGCAGCTCTTTGGCCCCTTGAGTGTGGCTTTTCCTGAGCCTTAGGAGTACACTAATTAAGTTAATAACAATGTACCTACCTATATAATTTAAGTTTAAAAAATTTGGCTCTCAAAAGAAATTTCAATCGTTGTACTGTTGATATTTGGCTCTGTTGACCCATGAGTTTGCCGACCACTGAGCTAGGCTCACTTCAAAAACATGGACCTTGAGACCATCAGATGTGATTTTGGTTCCTTGAATTCTCCTGACTAGTGTTTTTCCAATATTTCTTATATTGAATATAGCTGGTGTTTCACATCATACCAATCTTCCTTAGAAAATCAATCAGCCATTTTCTTCTTGGCTTCAAACTTCTTGCTGCCTTTTGTAAGGCACTTGTTCTTGCTCACTGCCATGGTGCTGCTCAAAGAGCCAAAAGGTCAATATACCTGGACTAACTGTACTAGGCTTCTTGTTGCAAGTGTAAACAATCTAAATCAAACTGACTTACACCAAAAAGGGATTTGTTGGTTCATGTAACTGAGATGCCAAGGTATGAGCTGGAGGCTAGAGTCTCAATGTCACCTCTCTCCATCTCTCAGGTCTTTGTCTCTGCTTGGTTTTCTTGCATCTGCAGCTGTCTCCACCAGCAACTCCGGCTGGCTCCCTGCTCTTTTAGCAACCTAATAGGTGAAATAATTTCACTTTCTTCTAGTGGTAATTCCAGGGAACACTGATTGGTCCTGAACTACAGTATAGAGCTGGGTCCTTGTGACTGCCGCAAGGTAAGGCCACGTGACCATCTGGGGGACCAAACACCGTAATCAAGCACCAGATGAGGAGGCTTCCCAAGGCAGGCAAAAAATACGTCCACCTTGCTCAGCTGAATGGCTCATTGGGTTGAGCACCAAAAAGTTGCTGGTTTGATTCCGGTCAGGGCACATACCTGGGTTGGGGTTCAATCCCTGGTTGGGCACATACAGCTGTTTCTCTCTCTCTCTCTCTCTCTTCCTCTTTCTCTCTCAACATGTTCTCAGGTGAGGATCAAAAAATTTTAAAAAATACACACACCTTGGCCAGCATTGACTAAGGACCATCTTAGTGCCAGGTTCTGAGCTCCGCTCTTCTCAGACATCCTCTAACCGAGTGATTTACTAGTTGGAGAGCATTAGAATCACCAGGAGAGATTGTTGGGGCCAAGAATTTGTATTTCTAACAAATTCCAGGTGATAACTGTGCTGCCAGGACTCCTGGAGAACACTGCTCTGTACTCTGAGCTAGACCACAGCAATGACAGCACTTGGGAACTGATGAGAAAGGTAGAAGCTCAGGCCTTACTCCAGACCAACTAAATAAAAATCTGCATTTGGCCCAGCCAGGCGTGGCTCAGTGGTTGAGTGGCGACCCAGGAACCAAGAGGTCACCAGTTGATTCTTGGTCAAAGGCATGTGCCTGGGTTGTGGGCTCGATCCCCAGTGGGGGGCATGCAGGAGGCAGCCAATTGATTCTTCTCATCATTTGTTTCTATTTCTCCCTCTTCCTTCTCTGAATCAATAAAAATGTATTTTAAAGAGCTAGGAGCACAATTTTAGAGATAAGGAAACTGAGTGAGGACACCAAGTTCTACCAGATCTGACAACTCTCACACGTGGGACCTGGTGGGGTTAGAGGGCAGAAAGGAGGCTGGGGTAGCAGGAGTAAGAAAAGGGGTGGGTGAGAGCCAAGAATTTGCATTTCTAACAAATTCCAGGTGATAACTGTGCTGCCAGAAGGGCCGCCCTGTTGTCCTCTCCCCCAGGCCTGCACAAGCAGCTGCAGGCAGAGCTGACCCCAGTTTGGGTAGAGGCCGAGACCTGGGCCATGTTGGAGCACACCTGATGCTGTCTGTCCTCTTGATCTTCTTGCAGGATCTGGGCCATATCCATCACCTCAGCTCCTTCTTCCCTTTGCTGGGTCCTAGCTGGCCAGGGGTCCATAGGCCAGTGGAAGGATGGCCTGAGGGGCTGGGCCACTGGATAGAGTAGCTGGAGGGGAATGAGCCCCCTTGGAGCATGGGGGCCATCTGTGAGTCAGGAGCTGTCTTGAGTGCTCTGACAGGGAAGGAGCTTTCTGTGGCTGCCTCTCCAGATCCTGGGCTTGCTGTGGGGTGACTTGAGCCTTCTTTTTCAGGGTCAGAGCATCTACTGTCATAAGGTAGGTGGCTGGTCCTCTGCACCCCACCCCCAGACTGGTTCAGCCTCATCTGCAACACATCTAGGGCAGCCCCAATAGTCACTAACATTCCTAGTGCATGTCACAACTCCAAAGAAATAGGCATTTTGTGACACCCATTTTATAGACGAGGAAATATATGTAGAGACATAAACTAAGGTCACAAAGGAACAAATCCTAGTCACTCCACTGCTTGGCCCTATAGCCTGGACATCCTGAAGGACAAATGCTTCTCCCTGGAGAGAGGAGCAGGGCCATGAGCCCAGATCCTAGGAGCCTGACTCTGCCCCAACTCTAGGGTAATTACAAGGCAGAAACTTGTAAAAAAAGAGAAAGCACCCCCAAAATTCAAAATGTATTTATTTAATATATTCATCACAGGGGCTCAACCAGAGACTTAATTTAAAAAACAGACACAAAACAAATACAACACCACAGCTGAAGAGAGAGTCCTAAACAGAAATCAAGGCAAGGACAGACCATCCAAGGAAAAAGTAAGAAGACGGCACAAGGAGACAGGCTGGACAGCCCAGGTCAGGGCTCTTGGCTGGAGACCTGCTTTGCGTAGTTTTCCTGTAGGTACTTCTTGAAGGCTGAAGAGAACAGGCAGATCTTGGTGAGTGATGGGGAGAAGGGCAGCAGGGATGCAAAGCGGGTGGAATTTGGGGAGTTCCCAGAACAGATTCTCCCTCTGTTGCCCACCCAGTCAGATCTCCTGGATGGACTCTGCTTCCTGTGACACTGGGAGGGGACTAGGGGGCCTTAGTGATCAAGTCATTTGCACAAAGCTTTGCCTTCTATTTATAAGGCCCCTCAACCTGCCCTGGCCAGGGTCTCAGTGGTTAGAGCGTTGGCCTGTGCACCAAAGGGTCTCAGATTCCCAGTCAAGGGCAGGTACCTGGATTGCAGGCTTGACACCTAGCCCGTCAGGAGGCAACCCATCTATGTGTCTCTCTCACATCGATGTTTTTCTGTCTCCCTGTCCCCCCGATCCCTTTTCTGCTCTCTCTGGAAAAAAAAAATCCTTAGGTGAGTATTAAAAAAATTTTTTTTTTTTTAAAAAAAAGTCCCTCAACCCACATCAATTTTCTGATTTTATATCAAGCAGGCAAAGCAGAAACACCAAGGCAGAGGTAGGACCGGCTTCCCAAGTCACCGAGATCCTTTTTGTTTGAGGGAGACTTTCAAGGTTGGGGAGGGGTCACCCAGTGGCGGAGGAAGGACCCACCTGTGGGGTTTTTCCAGAGCTCTGCAGCATGTGTGTTCAACGGGCTGTCGATGTTGGGTTCTGTGGGTGAAGAGAACAAGATTGGTCAAGGGGGTAGACGAGGCTGCCTGGGGGAGTCCTGACAGGTTCCCCGGTTGCAGGGGGAGGAGGGCTAGTCTTAGAAGTCACCTCCTAGCCCTGACCAGTTTGGCTCAGTGGGTAGAGCGTCGGCCTGTGGACTGAAGAGTCCCAGGTTCGATTCCGGTCAAGGGCATGTACCTTGGTTGCGGGCACATCCCCAGTAGGGGGTGTGCAGGAGGCAGCTGATGGATGTTTCTCTCTCATGGATGTTTCTAACTCTCTATCCCTCTCCTTTCCTCTCTGTAAAAAATCAATAAAATATATTAAAAAAAAAAAGTAGTCACCTCCTAGCAAGCTCTGGATGGAGAGCAGGATGGTCCTGACGTCATACAGGGCAGACCACTTGTCCTTTAGGATGTCCAGGCAGATGTTACCCTGGGTGTCTACGTTGGGGTGGTAGCAGGGCGTGAGGAATTTCACCGTGGGCGCGTTGTACGGGTAGCCACTGGGGAACTCTAGGGAGAGTTTATACCTCAAGTCTTCATATACCTGGCATTGGAGAAAGAGGCGGGAGTAAGCTTGCCACCCTGAACCTCATATTCCAGCCCAAGCCCCACATAAAGACCTTGCTAGGACCTTTTAGCTTTTCTAGGACTTGACAGAAGACAAACTCTTATGCTGGTTCTGGTAATTTCTCTCATCTGGTGGGGACATCAGGGATCCTTTGGTCCAAGGGTTGTAAATTGGTGCCCTGAGGGTTACCACAGCTTGCTTTTTAGTCCATTTAGAATATTAGTTGCTAACATGTAAAAATTGGGAGATTTGGGGCAGATTTGAAGTCCTGACTTCTCTTAAACCAGATAAACAGCAACGGGACGCTGCTGTCATGAGACTTGTGCCCTCTCATTGGCCAAAGTCCTCACTTGTCCTCCATTCTTTTCCTTGCTGTCTGGCCCCCTGAGAATCTAAGATGGACAACCTTGCTTTAAAGCCACCTTCTTGCTGTACAGAAGGGGGGACCAGGACCGAAGGCTCAGAGCACAGGGGCGTGCCCGCAGGCCTAATGGCTGGAAGCAGATGTGGCGCATTTCACCTCCCACCGCTCCCCAGACCCAGCATCACACTCCCCTACCCCAACCCACACTCACTGTGCCAGCTGCTCCATGGATGGTCCCCACCCATTTGAAGAGATTGTCTGACTCAGGGAAGGCAGAAATCCCTTTGTCGCCAGACATCTGGGGAGGAAACACAGAGCTCTCAGGATAACACTTCTGGCACAATGGGCAAACCCCTTAACCCCGTCACATTCTGATCCAAAATAAGGCCCTCAGACCAAAGTGACAGGCTTTCCTGAGCAAGTGCTTAGACTCCTGAGGGCTGAGGATGCCCCCTGGGGAGGAGTGTGGGGGTTACAGTGGTTCTGGGCCAGGCTGGGAGGGAGGGGTTTTGCAGGGGAGCAGAAGGCTCCCTGCACCCAGCCTTGTTGGTTGCTGGGAATTCCCTTCACCGTGGGACTGAGTGCCAGTTCTACTGTGCAAAGCCTGCTCGGACTAGGGAGCTAGACATACAAGGATCTGAGTGGAACATTCAGGGTCAATGTGGAGAAAGGACACCTAGGATGGAAGCATCTCCAGGAAGGGCGGGTGGAGAGCTGGGCGGGGTGAAAGCTTAGGGCAGGGAAATAGGGCGAGGCCTCCTAGGGCTCCAAGGAGCCCATTTTAGAGACAATTTCTTTGTGGGGAGATGGGGTTAGGAGTGGGGACTGCTGGGAAAAGGGTGTCGGTGAGGTATATGAGCCAGTTCCCAGAAGGGAGCAGACTGTACTCATCGTTTTACCCCTTCGCTCCGTGTCTAGCAAAGAGCGTGAGGTGGGGAAGGAGGCCACTGAGGAAGGAGTGCAAAGTGGCAGGTGGACCAACTGGCTGGGCATCCGCGCGGGCGGCCACTCACCATGAGGGTCATCAGCTCCTGCTGTAACCTGCGGACAGAGCGTCTGGAGTCACCTGGGAGCCCGGATGGGCCAGGGCTCAGCGGGTCCATTCCAACGCCCCCCCCCCCCCCCCCCCCCCCCCCG